CTCTTTCAAAGAAACTGCTTACTTTGTTGTCGACGGAAAAAAAATAGACGATCTTCCTAGCATTACCATTACAAATATAGAAAAGAGTTTCCGGCCTGTATAAAAAGAAAGCCAAGTTCAGAGCAGGAGAGGGAGGGGATAATTTTCAACTACAACCATGAGAAACTCTTCTCTCAGCTTTCGAGCAACCGCCCCAAGCCTTGTTATTCTCTTTCCTATCCTTGAAATCATTCACCTTCACTGCAAACCATAATGGCGATTGGTAAACTTTTTAAATGCATGCAATGTGAAAACACTTTCTCCTGGCTATTGGAAGAACATCATAACCTATGATACAAATCCAACCTTATGCCCACCACTAATCTTCTACATTTAAAGCCCTTCCATCACTATGGCCAACAACTGAACCACTACTAAAATATATCTTACAAAGTGTAAAACCAAACATCATATATCTCTCATTTACTAACCTTGCTGATCCTTAGCTACCACGCCTCAAACTCTCATGCGAAGAGTTTTTTCACCATTCATCTTTAACGATTTCCAGAACTATTGGATGCACTCTACGAAGCCAAATATGAGCTGCTGGATAGGCCTGGCAATTCCTGACACGACCCGATAACCCGACACGACACGACATGAAATTAACAGGTGTTCGGGTCGACACGATAACGAAACGGGTCGTTATCGGGTAACCCGATAAGCACCTGTTAAGATAACTGGTTTGTTCGGGTATACACGTGGGTAACACGAACGAAAAAACGATAACAAGAATATTAATTTAATAATTTATAACCCTAAAAAAATATACTATAATATTATATATATTAATAACAATTTTATACCCCTAAAAACTATAAATAATTAAATATATATATTATATTAACTAATAATTATAATAATATTATTAACTATAATATAACTATATAAATATATAAATATATATATATATATATAATTTTATTAAAATACCCTAAAAACTAAATAATTATACATAAAAATAAATAAATTTAAATCTACTTAATAAATACATACACACACACACACATTGAACTTCATGGGATACGAATTATTACGAAACTAATTTTCAACGATCCAACCGTCAAACATGTTTGTATATACTTCGAGTCGCATTCATAAAAAAATTGACAAAAACTCATCACACTTCAGCATTAGAAACTTTTTTCAACGTTATTTAATAAACAACGTTTGATATAAATTCATTTTCGCCAAAAAAATTTCAAAACACAAACATTCAGTGAGCAAGTTTAACGGGACAAAATTTTCTTTTTGATGACGGATAAATGAAACTCATGATTTACCATTTTAACTTTAAGATTTTGGATGATTTTTTACAATGATTGAAATTCCTTGAATAAATGATAAATGATTGAACGATTTTAAATTTATATTTACTACAAAATGGATACTTATCTTATATTATACTTAATAAAAGTATGAATAAACTCTTAAGTATTAGTGAATCTATTGTTTTGATGGGATACTCATTCTACAAAACTAGTTTCAATGATCCAACCGTCAAACATGTTTGTATATACTTCGAGATCGCATACGCCAAAAATTGCAAAAAACAAACATTCAGAGATCAAGTAATGGGACAAAAGTTTTCGACGGTTATAAACGAAAAAACACGGTTATTTAACGGGATTTTTGATGATTTTTTTACAACTACACTCCTTGACCCTATATATGAATACAATGATTGAATTCGATCTTCAAATTTAAAATATTTACACTAGTGGATACCACAAAATCTTATGTTATACTTAATAAAAGTATGAATAACTCTTAAGTATTAGTGAATCTATGTTTTGATGGGATACTCATTCTACGAAAACTAGTTTCAATGATCCAACCGTCAAACATGTTTGTATATATTTCGAGATCGCATACGCCAAAAATTGCAAAAAACAAACATTCAGAGAGCAAGTAACGGGACAAAAACTTTTCGACGGTTATAAACGAAAAAGCACGATTTAACGGTCATTTTAACTCCGATTTTGATGATTTTTTACAAACTACACTCCTTGACCTTATATGAATACAATGATTTAATTCGATCTTCAATTTAAAATATTTACACTAGTGGATACCACAAAATCTTATGTTATACTTAATAAAAGTATGAATAAACTATTAAGTATTAGTGAATCTATTGTTTTGATGGGATACTTATTCTACGAAACTAGTTTCAAATGATCCAACCGTCAAACATGTTTGTATATACTTCGAGATCGCATACGCAAAAATTACAAAAAACAAACATTCAGAGATCAATTAACGGGACAAAACTTTTCGACGGTTATAAAAGAAAAATCACGATTTAACGGTCATTTTAACTCTGATTTTGATGATTTTTTTGCAACTACACTCCTTGACCTTATATGAATACAATGATTGAATTCGATCTTCAATTTAAAATATTTACACTAGTGGATACCACAAAATCTTATGTTATACTTAATAAAAGTATGAATAAACTATTACGTATTAGTGAATCTATTGTTTTGATGGGATACTCATTCTTACTACGAAACTAGTTTCAAAGATCCAACCGTCAAACATGTTTGTATATACTTTCAAGATCGCATACGTCAAAAAAATTACAAAAAATAAACATTCAGAGATCAAGTAACGGGACAAAACTTTTCGACGGTTATAAACGAAAAAATCACGATTTACGGTCGGTTATTGTTAACTTCGATTTTGATTTTGATGTTTTTTACACAACCACACTCCTTGACCCTATATGAATACAATGATTGAAGGAATTCGATCTTCAATTTAAAATATTTACACTTTGTGATACACACAAAATCTTATGTTATACTTAATAGAAGTATGAATAAACTATTAAGTATTAGTGAATCTATTGTTTTGATGGGATACTCATTCTACGAAACTATTTTCAATGATCCAACCGTCAAACATGTTTATATATACTTCGAGATTGCATACGACAAAAATTGCAAAAAACAAACATTCAGAGATCAAGTAACGGGACAAAACTTTTCGACGGTTATAAACAAAAAATCACGATTTAACGGTCATTTTAACTCCGATTTTGATGATTTTTTTGACCCTAGATGAATACAATGATTGAATTCGATCTTCAATTTAAAATATTTACACTAGTGGAAACCACAAAATCTTATGTTATACTTAATAAAAGTATGAATAAACTCTTAAGTATTAGTGAATCTATTGTTTTGATGGGATACTCATTCTACGAAACTAGTTTCAATGATCCAACCGTCAAACATGTTTGTATATATTTCGAGATCGCATACACCAAAAATTGCAAAAAACAAACATTCAGAGAGCACGTAACGGGACAAAACTTTTCAACGGTTATAAACGAAAAATCACGATTTAACGGTTAATTTAACTCCGATTTTGATGATTTTTTACAACTACACTCCTTGACCTTATATGAATACAATGATTGAATTCGATCTTCAATTTAAAATATTTACACTAGTGGATACCACAAAATCTTATGTTTATACTTAATAAAAGTATGGTATAGTACTATTGTTTATTTTTTTTTTCATAATTATTTTGGTAAACTTCTCATAATTTGAATGATTTTTAATGTTTGGTTTTTCTGTGCTTAGTTTATGCAGAAGATAGTTATGACGTGGAAAACCTTACTGAAAACATCATCAACATAACTCTTGAAGGCAATAGATCAAGCCAAAGTTCCAATGCAATTTCATGATGATCGATGTAAATCGAGGATTTTGTAAATTGAGGTTTAAACTTTTGAGAAAGATTTCACAACCTTGAAAACAAAAACTGTTTCATTTTGCATATCCTTGCACATTTAAAATTTGTAATAGATTAGTGTATGTATTATTTTTTTATTAGGCTCTTATTTTCGAGTGTAGATGTAGTACTTAAACGACAAATGTGTTTTAATGTTTTGAAGTAATATTTATGTGGCAATGTGTGGTATGTGCAAATTTAAGAAAAAAAATTATATTTTTCTTAACGGGTCATAACGGGTGTGACACGACACGACCCGTTAAGATAACAGGTGTTACACGAAAACGACACGAACACGACTGACACGACCCGTTTGCCAGGCCTATGCTGGAACAACAACAAAGCATATTCATAAGGCTAGTTTCTCTTTCCAGATGCCTTGGGCCTAGTTCGCTTACTGTAGAATACAATGACTTATTCACTTTTTTTACAAAAATCCAACAATAAACAAGCTTAGCCACGCCTTCAAACAAATAAGGCCCAAACAAGAATTTATTTGTTTGAAAGAAAAAAAAAAACTTCTCTATCTTTTCATCACTCTCTTTATCTGCAATAAGTGCCTTATTCAAATGCCTAGCATGCGTAAGTGTTTTACTTAAAAACAATAAGAAACTGGAATCTATCAGAAAATTTACTCTTATTGCCAATGGATTTCCCGTTGGAACCCTTCCTTCATATATTTTACAAGATTGATCAACAAAAGGCGTATGATTATCAGACTTAATTATCATGTTCACGATAACTCGGAATAAATAATGCACAAATTAATGAGAACCCCATTCATATAATGCACCTTGTGTGTGCATGAAAAAATTTGAGATTCTATAAAACTAATTGGTAATATATAAAATAGACTAATTACTTATAAGCACATACAAAATCCATTCTTTCTCCGACATGGGATTTATACTCTCAACACACTCCTTCACTTGTGGAGAATTTTCAATTCTAGCACATGGGTAACATAAATCGGGTGACATGGAGCACGTGTGCCCTTTGGGATTCACACATGCGACAACATTCTCTGTTATCATGAAGAAAATTGAGATTCTACCATAAACCAATTAGCATTATAAAATTAATATATGAGGGTTTCTATCCCTAAAATTATCAATCCCTTTTGTGGTAAAACCCAATACCTAGTAATAGGCGGTTAAGTTAGAACAAAGTGGTAGACCATGTTGGGCCTATAATGTTTATCAATAAGCACATACAAAATCTTACACAGAAATGTAGAATTCATCAAAATAAAAATTAACAAGCTAACATAATGAAACTCCAAGCCAAGTACAAAGAAAATGTCAAAGACTCCTCCAGTACAAAGATCATACCTCTCTAAATTCTACTGTTCACTAATACAGGGTGAGAAAAAGATTAAAAATACAAACCATGTCACAGAAATCTAAATATGTGAACAAAGACCAATGGAAAGAGCATGCATGTGGAATAACCAAGAAAAAGTACGGTGACCTTGTCTTTTAGCACTCCAAAGCATGTGGCTTGAATTATGCATATGCCTTGTGGTATGTCCCCTCCCTTCATGCACCTTTTTATCTCTTTGTCTTGACCCTTCAGAAGCCCTTTACATTTGACATACAGATAATGTCCACAAATCACATTAAAAAAATCCCAAGAAATTAAATTAGACAAAAAAAAAAAAAAAAAAGTTAATGACCTAATCCCATATGCATATCATCATTTCTTCCTGGTCTTATCCTTGCCATTGGGAAAGATTGATCCAAAACCAAACATATTAGCCGTAGGAATATTTAGGACAGGACTAAATGGAACAGCATTGCCCCCATATGAACCATATTGACCCTTTTTCAGTGGAGGCTTTTGATAATTACTCATTGGAGCAGAAGAATATTGTGAGGAGGGGGGCTTTTTGGATGCAGATTTATGGGAATTCTGCTTCTGATTCTGACCCTCTTTCAAAAACAGCGATCGCTTCGCACTTGACGAAGAACCGGTTGAATTGCTTCTTGGCAAAAGCGGTAATGGACATAAGGTTCTGCCATATCCACTGCCACAGCTACTGCTCCTTTTGAAACCCCAGAAAGACTTTGAACTCTGCTTCTCATCACCTTCACTACTACTACTACTATTCGTCATGATCTTGCTCTCTTTCGCCGTAGTTATTTTCGGGTCACGTTGATTAGTAGCCGGTGCTGTTGGCAATGGAGGCATGATTTGATCCAACTGCTTTGGCTGATGGGAAGACTTTTTCTTGATCTCAGTTGGGATCATTTTCCCGTCCGAGAAAAGCTCGTCCGCGGAGGAGGACTCCTGCTCGAAGCTCTCGCTGACGCAGAAGTCGAACTCCATGCTTGAATTCATACTTCGTGAGGATAAAGAATTGGATCTGAGAGAGTGGTTTTGCTGTTCGACAGCTGCAACATCAGATTGGCAGAGATTATAGGAGAATGAAATCCTCGGACTCATCACTTCCATACTGCTAGGGTTATCTGAATACAGCTCAACTACCATTTTCTCTTAAGATTACTTGAATTTCAAGGAAAGCCAAAGCCAGAAAATCACTCAGAGAGAAGTTAGGATAAGAAAAACCAAGAAAACATGTTGGTTTTGAGGGTTAAAACTTCAAACATGGACATGTCTGGATTTTATAGAACGGGGAATTCAATTCAACCACAGAAAGAGTGATGAATTTAAGATTGTTTTTTGTTGTTGATGGAACCAATGAAGAAGAGAAGCAAGTGATTTGGACAATAGTGAAGAGAAGAGTAAACTGAAAGACCAAGTCGGTTGGTTGAGAGTTTCAGAGGGAGATAAAAGCAAGCAACCAAGTTAGGCCGGCCTCGGTGGAAGTAATTGAGGGACTGAAATAATTCTGCTGCGGTCTCAAACAGGTAGGCCATGTTTTTATCGACGTGGGAAAAGGGGTTGATCAATTAGCAAATTGTATGCTTACCTGATTTTCTCTTTTTCATTTTATTTTAATTTGTTTATTAACATGAATTTTTTTTTTTCAAAATCTTAATTGATGAAATAATCATATTTTAAGTATTATGTCGATATCTTATTGCTATGTTATTAATGTTTGATCGATATGTCATAAAAAATTAATTTTGATCAATTCAGCAATTAAAATTCAATATATAAATCATTTTAGGTATTTTTATGGTAATTTTGGCAAAATTTTGAAAATCTATGTTGGGATTATCACGTTTCAAGAACCATTTTCAATAGGGATAGTGAGCGCAATTTATAGGTTGAGGGATCACGAATGATTACTTTTGGATAAAGTTTTGGAATACTAAAGAATTGAGAGAAGCTTTTATTTTAATTGATTATAGAATTAAAAGATAACTTAAATATAATTTCAAAAGTTGTTTAAATAGTGCCACAACCCTATAACAACAAAAGGAAATAAAACAAGAAAGTACGTCCGAAAAATAATTAAAATATGTTTTTGACCCACTAAACGATCTCAAACGTTTGAAATTCATCTTAGGTCGTAGCAAAGCAAAGAATTTGATTTCATCTAGTCGTTTCTTTTATAGAAAGAATCGTGGATAGAAAACGAGCTGCAAAAACTCCTAAAACACAATTTATGCTGGAATTCGCCAATCTGAGCTGCAGTCCTAGTCCTACGTCGGATATGTTGAAATGTCATTTACTAACTATAATCCGTTAGTAAAATACGAGGCACATAAAACATTATTTACTAACTATAATCCGTTAGTAATATATGCCCACCGCACTCAACTTTTTTTCTATGAAAAATGCTCTAATTAAAACTATAAATTACTTATGTACTCAGAAGTGAAGTCTCAACCCAAACACTCAACTCAAAATACACTCTCATATTATATACTTTTCCTACTCTTTCACCTTTCCAAGCCATGTAATTTTTATTAGCTAATGGTTTACAATTTTATTGTTCTAAATACCTCTTCCCCAAAATCATGTGGTTTGATAATAAGCTAATAGCATTGTACCAAAATTTTACATTAATTTTATCATTTGAAGTTGCCCCACTAAAAAATGTTTTTGGTTCCATCCATGACTGTGTATGTGACAAAATTGCTTATTTATCTGTATAATTCAAAATATATAAAAAACAAAAATATTTCACAAGAACATGTATATACGTTTATAATAGTCCAGCTTACTCACTAACTAGAATGGGTATGTACATTTCATGGTTTTCATTACCTTAAATGTGGCTTAACTTTTCGGTACGCATGCACGTAAACTACAAGAGCTGCTGTAACCAAAAGCAATTTTTATGGGCAGGGCTCTAACGTCTGCTTTCCCTCGTATTATCACACCATGAAAAGGACTTGTGACCCTAATCTCAAGCATCTAACTTCTGCTTTCCCTCATATTATCACACCATGAAAAGGACTTGTGACCCTAATCTCAAGCAGCAAAGATGATAATTGGATTTATCAATGTTGTTGACATGACACACATGCAATTATATTACAATCATGCAAGTCACTTACTGCCTACTTTAATTCTCCCTTACTTTCCCCCTAACATGTTTGAGAAAGCAAATAACACTACAACATGGGTCTCCATTTCTTCCCTAATGATTTTTTTGGGTCAACTTCTCAAGACACATTACCAACTATTATCCAATATCAAGGTTCTAAAAGACGTCTAGCGCTACTCGGTCGACGGGTTTGGTTTTAACTCCTAGACAGCTAGGCAGGGCCTAGGCAGATTAGGTGGATGTAAGTAAATTTATTATATAATCGTATACATGAGTGTTTGCTTATACTTAAAAAATACATAATTATATTGGGATACATAAATTACAAAATAGAATGGCATAGATTATAAAGTTTTAGAACATAATGAAAACATGGGGAACAAACATATATTGTGTGTTCATCTAAGTATTCAACAAGTTTTTTACAATTTTGAAAATAATAAAATGTAAAACGAAAGTTAATAATATTCCGTTAAGTGAGAATCGCAACTTAGGCGGGGGTTTAGGCGGTTTTGGGCAGGTTGGGAAGGCTGGGCTGGCGCCTAGACCGTCTTGATTTTCAAACGCCTACAGATTAATCGGGACGGTGGCTAGCCGCCTAGCGCTTAGGCGGGGACTAAACCGCTTTAGGCCGGGACTTTTAGAACAATGTTCAATATGCAAAAACTAAAACTATATTCGTTGTACATGATCTCAATGCGGGGGGTTTTTTTTTTTTACTAGGCTTGAATTGGATTTTTATTTTGTTTTGCCTGAATTATCGTGTTTACTACATTGCCTAGATTTTGTGCTTGAATGATTGATGTCACTTGTGATCCACTTTTTGGTGGTTTCACATGAGGGAGTGTGTTGAAGAATACCAAAATTTCATATAAAAAAATTAAAATTACAATATATGTTGAGTGGTTCCACTTCTAATAAGTAATATTAGGGTTTTTATCACAAATGGTCCCTAGAATTTACCCTCACCATCAAGATGGTCCCTGAAATTGAAAATCAATCAATGTAGTCCCGGTGTCGCAAATCAATGTGGTCCTTCCGTCACAATGCTGTTAAAATTTTTGTTAAGTGCTGATGTGACACATAAATGAGCCCTGAAATTGACTCACAACATCAATAGTCCATGAAATTGACCCACACCATTAAGATGGTTCTTAAAATTGAAAATCTATGAATGTAGTCCTTGAAAATAGGTGTCATAAATCAATATGATCATTTTGCCACAATTCTGTAAAAAAAAAACGTTATGTGTTGATGTAGGTTTAATAAATAATTTAAAAAGTTGTCTAAATACCTTTTTGCACAATAGATTTTTTTTTTCCTTATAGTAGGACCTACTTCGAATAGAGTGTCGAAATGTGTCGGTCTAGGTTGCACAATGAAATTGACCCTCACCAAAGGTGATCTTGATCTAGGTTCAATTCGGTGAAGGGTGTCGAAGTGTGTAAAGATGGGTGTATTGAGATTTTTTAGAGAATAGACAACGAATGAGGTAGAGGAATGTGGACTGGGATTGGATGTGATTGCAGGACTGGGTTTTGGGATCATAACTTTTTATTAACTATTAAATTATTAAACCTATTTGTAATTTTTTAAATTTAATTAGATTTGTGTGATCCATTTATGTGTTACATCAGCACATAATAGAATTTTTGACAGAATTGTGACGGAATGACTACATTAATTTGGGACACTTACTTGAGAAACTACATTGATCGATTTTCAATTTCAAGGACCATTTTGATGTCGCATGTCAATTTCAGGGACTATTTTGATGCCACGAGTTAATTTGAAGGACCATTTATGAGAAAAATGACTTATGAGACCCATTTATGTGCCACATCAACACTTAACGGAATTTTTAACAGATTTGTAACGAAATGATCACATTGATTTACGACACTTATTTTCAGGGACTATATTGATTGATTTTCAATTTCAGAGACTATCTTGATGGTGAGAGTCAATTTCAAGGATTATTTGCGATAAAAATCCGACAATATTATTCAGGTCGGTGGCAAGATGCAAGTTAAAAGGAGAACCGCAATTGTGTGGCTAATGGTAAGCCGTTGTACCATCTTTGTAAGGGCTAGTTTGGTATTGCTGTGCTTTGAAAAAAAGCTGCTGTGAGAATAAGCGGCTGTGCTGTGAGAATAAGCGGCTGTGAAATAAAGCCAGTAGAGTGTTTGGTAAACTTTTTTGTGAAAGTGCTTTTGGAAAAAAAAGCAGGATGATAGTGTGTCTTTTCATTAAAGGAGCACTGTAGCTCCGTGTGCTTTGAAAAAACTGGCTTTTTTTCAAAGCAGCAAATAGCAACTTCAGCTTTTCCTTTGATTTTCAGCTTATTCTCACAGCAGCTTCCAAAATAAGCCCTTTTTTTTCAGTTTACCAAACACAAAAATGACCCTCAGCTTTTTTTCACAGTGGCTTTTTTTAAAATCACCTCAATCCCAAACGGGGCCTAAAACCATTGACGTATTGCAGTGATGGTGCCCCATCTTCTTTAGTGTTGCTGCTGAGCTCCAAAGACACTGCATTTAAAGTCAAAGTAATATAATTATACCACTTGACTTTATTACTTCAATTATATTACTTTACTTAAAAAGAAAAATATAATTAAATACAATAGTGATTGTATTTTATTAAAAAACAGTACAATCAACTGGAAGAACATCACCAGAACAAACGCAAAATTATATAATTAGAAAATAATCGGTCAAATTTCTCAAGCAAGAAAATTCAGATTTATTTCGTTATCCTTTATCTTTCTATTCTTCTACCTAGGAAAACCTTCACTTAGTTATACGGTACATCGACACAGAATTCACGTTGTAGAAAAATGAAGACTATACATTATGTAATGGAACAATTATTAGGGAAATGATTTCTGTATCATATCAACTTTTATATGAACAATTATGTTTATATTTGTTCTTCGATTCTTCTTGAATTTATTCAATTATTATTTATTATGTAGTAGAACAATTATTAGGAAAATGACTTCCGTATCATATCAACTTTTTTGTGAACAATTATGTTTATATTTGTACTTTTAATTTTTTTTAATTTATTCAATTTAAATGTTAGAAATAAACAAACACGTAAAGGGAAAAAGTGGGAAAAGAGTGTGCATAATTTCCTAACTAAATGTATATTAGTCACAGTTCGTTACTAAACGTTATTTAGTTTTAATAATGTGTTTGTGGCTGTAACTTATATAATTTTAAAAAATTATTAATGAAAAGGTTGTAATGAACTATATAAGATATAGTCACGATAATTTACTTGTCATGACCACTTTTTCTTTGGTTTGTTGCTTCTTTTAGCGTTTGCTCACATGGCAAGTGGCTAAAATTAGAAAGTAAATTAAAGATAAACAAATAATTAAAGCCATTTTCTCTTCTTTTTTCTTGATGTTTCTTGCTCGAAAAACAAAGCAACTGAAAAGTATGAAAGTGGTTGTTGAGCTAATTCACCTCATTGACCCTACCCTTCGCTGGACCATGACCCACAAAGAGGTGATAAGAATTTGGGGTTGGGTTTTTCTGTCGTGTCCGAGAATATAGTATGTATCAGAGTTTTAGGCCGTTTATTTTTAATTTTATTTGCTTGGTTATTTGTTTACATGTTCTTATTTAGTACAAAGAGGGAAGATGGTAAAAACTTAGGTAAAGAGAAATTATAATTTGTATAATCATTTCGGGTTATACGAGAATTGTTGCTAAACTAAACCCTGATTTGCGTTTGGTCTTGGATATTAAAAATTGGTCTGGTGGTCAACCCAATTTACAATGTTGGTTCTTTCTTTCCGTTAGTTCTACTAATTTTTCCAACAAAATTCATCGCGTGACATGCATGAAATATACTTTTTCACGGTAGAAAGGAATTTTAACCATCATAGCAACCCACCACCTACCCAGCACCTAAAACACTGCACTCTTCAATTCTCTATGAAAATCTCTCGGTTAACAGTCACCGAATTTCAATAATTCTGTCCACTCCGTCCATCTCATCCTCGAAGAGAGACAGCGTGCCGGAAGTTCTCCGATTTCTCTTCGAATTCAAGAAATATCTAAACACAGATGTACATGGAAAAGCTAACACTAGCTAACTCCTTTACTAAATGCTAGTGTTGTATTATCGATAGGCTTTGATGTATATGGCAAAAACTAGATAGTGTCGACACTGTCGATATATACGTACATAGTACTTCTTGTCAATGACACAAATTTGTATTGGTGCCACAAATAACCAAACAAAAATCACAAGAACATGTCAAAATATACAATCTACGATGCTAGTGATATTTCTCGAGATATTCAAAATCATAAGTTAACATCAATGCATGGTTATCGAGCAATTCATCATCACTTCAACTCATATTTTGTGTTTGTCTCTGTGTATGATTGAATCATTGTTTACCCCTAATCTTCTTTTGGTCCTATTTTCCTTGTTCTCGCCTGCAAATTTCTTCTCTTCTTATTGGTGGAATCGTTGTTGTAGGTGTTCCGAGAACCTGTAGCAAGAAAAGGGCAATCAACTGCATTTGACTTTGCATTTCATTAGATTATAACCAAGAACAATGGTAGAAACAACCAAAGCAATAACACTACCCGACGCAACACAAGAATGAAGAACCATGTGTGAAGTTTTTATGAGAAAATATCAAAACGAAAAAAGAAACCAATCCCAAGCTTAGAACTACAATTTCCTCTTTTGGGGCGTCTAATCTTAAACGTTGGGTGCTTCAGAGCTTTGGACTGCAAAAAAAAAAATCGAAAAACTACTTGGGGTTGACAAAATTCTACCTATTTCGATGGGATTTCAAACCCCAAATTTCCACAATTTCCCCCCTCATCGAATCAGTCATTTCTTGCTCGATATACCTAACAGAGTAAATTGGAGTGTCTCATTCCTCAAATACCAAAAGTTATAATCACTATGTCACATACAATAAGAAAGGTCGACTGGGCACTTAAGAATATTGTCAAAGAAATCAAACGAATATTGTTTCTTGCATCTTCATATGTTAACTCCACAATGACGACACAACCCTCACCTCAAGCCTTCTATCTAGTCAATACTCTTCAAAGACACTAAAAGTCAGGATAAGAATGGACTACTTGAAGAAGATCAAGTAGTTTGGAATGCTGCTCTTGCAAATTTGGATCCACAAATAACCTCTGTAAAGTATTTCGTGTGATGAAACACAAACATTTGGAATAAGAAACAATTGATTCCCAGAACGAATAACCAACAGGGCTCAGAATAAACCAGTCACCCTCACGAAATGTGACTCATTTTTTTTTGTCCTTATGATACAAAAATTGTCCTTAATATCTAACGTGTTTTTCAATTAAAAAAAAAAAAAGTTTTGTGAGGGACTTTTTATTAGTTCTCCCTTGGAAAAAGGATAGAGTAGGGCAGGGGAAAAAAATTAAGAACAATCAGACCAAAAGCATATAAATCAAGCATAATCAATCACAATAACAAACAAAAAAAACAAAAATAAACAGAACTGAATATAAGGATAAACACATCAAAACCTAGAAATCAAACGAGAAAGGAGGAGAATGAAAAATGGAAAATATTAGAAATTAGACTCTAGATTAAACTTACCAAGTCCAGTGGATCCTAAAGAGAGTGGAAGAATATCTCGTCCTTGCCTTCGTCGTCAACAGTGGGATTCCTGATTTGGATGAGAGGAACAAAGTGAAGGACCAGGTACTTTTGGCCAATACATGGATCAAATACGAATTCTTTATTGTGCACTCTTCTCAGAAACATTTTTAAAAACAAAATGAACATCTTCCGGGAAAGAGTAAATAAACTCAAGAACCATTTCAGACACGGCGACATGGCTAAAGTTCAAGGGGGTATTGCTTAATATGTTCCACAGTAAAAAAAAAAACATACAAGTCCTTAGATAAAGATGCTGGAACCAACTACGCAAAAACAAAAGTAAACAGTTTTCAGGAAGACACAAAAAAAAAAAAAAAAAAAATGTTAACAAAGACCAATAATCAACATGCATTCAATACCTTAGTCTAATAACAAAAACTACTTTGCCTTCAAGTTGTTTTCAGAAACATGTTTGTCCAAAAATGCCTTGGCCAGATTACTGAAACTGACATTTACTGCTTCAGCTGCAGCATATCTCTTCATGACATCAACCACCTCTGGCTTTATAATCTCCTTCTTGTTAGGTGCGTTGCATAGATAATATAGGGATCCAATTGCATAATTCACCTAACAATCAATTCAATTTTCAATATAATGTATCAAAAACTGAGTTTCCTTATAAAGCACTAATAACCATGTTGATTGACCTAAACATTAGTGGCGTATAATAGTTTGACCAGCACGGATTATTTTAAACCAGTACAGTTGGGAAAAAAATACAAGTACAGAATCCCAAGTCATATTGGCATAATTCGATGTTCCTCCATTTCTATAAGAATCAATAAGCTCCAACTTAATTGTGTTAGTGTTCCTATTCTATAAGACTTGATCAGGTCCAACTTTCAAATCACATTCTCAGAACAGAAAATTCACAAACGCACACAAATTTCAAGCTGCTACTTACAGTGTTTCTGACTGGACTTGATAAACATTGAATAACAAGAGAGATTCCTCCACATTGAGCGATAATTGCAGCATTTGCCGGATCTGCATCTTAAAAAATTTAGTTACAAAACACACAACTCACACACACTATCGATAGACGCTTCCTAGATGGTTGTCTTAAAAACTAATAGCAGCAGACCAATTATACAGGATCACCATTGGGATTAGATAGGTAGACTTACCAGCACAACAATTGCATATCCCTCCTACACCAAATTCCACCAGCTTCTCATTTGGTTCGGTTATGCAGTCCACAAACAATTCCAACACATTGAGCTGTTTGTAATCATAAAATCCTTATCAGGCCAAAACCATCATGGAAAACAGTTAAATTGTCTTTTGCAGACAAATCAACTCAACATCAAAATGTTAACAAAAATCAAAATCAATATCAAATTATTTGTATACCTGGCGCAAAAAGGCATAGTTGTAAGGATCATAAGCAAAGTTTGCCAAATTAGCAACAATTTTCTCTTTTGCCTCTGCAAAGAATGGAACAGATGATAGTTGATAAACTAACCATGAGATGAATCAAATGTCATTGACTCATCAGAAGAATTCTAAAATATAGCCTTGTACTCTGCCTACAAATAACAAATTACTAACAAACCTAAACAAATATTTCCATGCCAACACCGAAACTCCTACTGCTAGCGTTATCACTTATGAGGATCCACAAACATCCGAGAAGGCACATAAATTATCACTGAAGAAAGAGTGGCACAACTCAAGAGAACCTAAAGAAAAGAAACACCAATGTATCCAAACTAGAGAGCTAGAAAATGCATGATAAAGCTTCAAACCATAGGCAAACACGAATTACGAGCAGCAAAGCGTACCTTCATCGTCAGTTGTACTCTGAAATCGAGTCACCAACTCCTGGAACAAAAAGAACAATAACTAATGCATACACAAATAGATGGGACCATTTCCTTTTAAACTAAGGATTAGTGTTGCTGTACCTGAAGGTATTGCAGCCTCGGAGTTCCAGATCTTCCAGTTCGCTCTTCTTGCCTCCGATCATTCGTAAACATTATAACCCGTGTTTGTCTGTGGTGTGGGACTCAATGGAATGGGAATACACAGTCCCTGTTTTTTGAAGGCGGCTTTCCAAGTTGTCTGGTGGAACGAGGTGCGCCAGGAGGGCTTCGGCAAACAAGAACCTTGCCACACTGCAGCGAGTCCGGCTGATCTTGCCGTACCAATCTTCGTCCTTGCAGACGTATTTAAAAACCTGGAAATCGATTTATCTCAAAGTCTTGAAATTGCAGTTTAATCCAAGGAGATGAATCGGAGTAGTGACGGGAAATCAAGAAAGCAAATGATGAACGGAGTAGGGCGGATGTAAAACGTACCAGGGTGGTTCCAGGACCGTCCGTCGACCTGGAAACTGGCTTGGGAAGTCCTCCGGGGACCCTCGAACTCGAAGCTCTGGTATAATGGTTGCAGAGTAGGGTTGCGGCGGGCCTTGCGGCTGTGGAAACTAGGGAAGAAAAAGACACGGCCCATTCATCAGAGCAAGTCCACCGGGGCTTGCTTTGCCCAGGACCCAGCACAAAAAACAGACTGGCCATCAGTCAATTTGCTCCAGCCCACAAAGTTGCCTGGCACCCAGCTCATGCCAGGCAACAGAGCAGCCCAATTTTGACAGACCCAAGAGTCGGCCTATTTGGCTGGCACGTGCACAATACTCGCGCCCAGGGAGAGTAGCCGACAAGCTTGCACAGGGCTGTCAGCCCACTTGTGCTCCGGAGTGACGCGGCATGCTAATAGTCGTTGGATTTCCAACGGAAAAAAAAATTTTAATTTGACTTTTAAAATGGACCGTTCGATCATAGATCAACGGTCCATGTTAATTAATTAAATTAAAATTTATTAAAAAATACAAAAAAATTATTAAAAAATACAGAAAGTGTAATTGTTTTTTTCTATAAATACCTAACCCTCATCTTCCACCTTACACCACATTTCAATATTTTCTGCACTTTCTACCAAAGCTTTCATATACTTTTGTGTGAAAAAAAATACCAAAAAGCTTGTGGTTGAAGAATAAAGAGTATTTGATGAGTTTATGTAATTTCATTTTAGTGTGTTTTTTTTATAGTTTATTTGATGAGTATGTAATTTTATTTTAGTGTGTATTTTTTTTAAGTTTATTTGAAATTTTATCCGAAATTGGTTAAAAATCTTATCTGAAATAAACTAAAAAAAAAAAAACACACCAAATAAATGCGCTGGGTGCCAGAGCATTTTTTTAGGGATGAAGATGCTTTGGCCTATTACTGTTCACTCCAGTCTATCACTGTTCATTTGAGTGGATAAATGCGCTGGGTGCTGGCGCAAAGTCCTTAGGGGTGGACTTGCTCTCATATATCATAGGGTAAAATGTCAAAATGGTATTGAGATTGCATAACTCATCAATTTGGTCCCTCAGATTCCAAATCGATAAAAGTGATCCTTGAGATTGTCTACAATTCATTATTTTGGTTCTTCCGTTAAAAACTTCGATAAGTTTCCAAGAGCTTTTGGTCAGAAGTTTGAGCAATTTTCAAAACTTCGTAACGCAATCGTTTCTTAACCAAATTTAACCCATAATATATCAAAAAGAATATAGGAAAGTGTAGAATAAGATTATAACTATTTCGAAACCCAATGATTGCAAGAGATTGCCGTAAAATAGCCTCAAAGTTGACTGGTCTGAGTGAAAATTTGAAAACTCGTCGAAAACTGGGTAAACTTTAAACGTTCATAACTTCTTCAATACTCAAGAAATCAAGTGATTCCAAAACAAAAATCATATTTCTTGATGAGATGAAGAGAATGGTACCTTTTTCGACGGCTAACTTGCCTTGGTTTGGCAAGAACGGCTCAAAAGTGGTTAACTCGAGACCAAGACAGCCATATTTGAGTCGTTTTTTAGCCAAACCACGACAAGTTAGCTGTCGAAAAAGGTACTATTCTCTTTGTCTCGTCGAGAAGTATGATTTTTGTTTTGAATCACTTGATTTTGTTAAGTATTGAAAAAGTTATGAACGTTTAAAGTTTATCCAGTTTCCAGCGAGTTTTCAAGTTTCACTTGGACCAGTCAACTTTGAGGCAATTTTCCTGAAATCTTCGGTAACCATTGGGCTTCAAAATAGGTATAATCTTATTCTACACTTTCCTATCTTCATTTTGATATATTATGGGTCGAATTTGGTTAAGAAACGATTGAGTTATGAAGTTTTAAAAATTGCCTAAACTTCTAGCCAAGAACTCCGAGACATTTAATGGAGTTTTTAACGGAATGATCAAAATGATGGATGGTGGACAATCTCAGGGACAATTTTATCGATTTGGAATCTAAAGGACCAAAGTGATGAGTTATGCAAATCTCAGGGATCATTTTGACAATTTACCCTATATAATATATGGTCAATTTTTGTCAATACGTTTGTGTTTAATTTTAAAAAAATATTTAAAATAATTCCTTACTGCACAATGGACGATGAACCGTAAAATTTAGAGATCTTCACAAAAAGGATTCGACGGCGAGGATCCGGATTCTAACATAAACTGCTGTACACGCGCTATACGTCTTTCTACCAATGAGAACATACCAACTGTAGTCTTTGTATATATTAAAATATTGGGATGTAAAAAGGGAAGGGACAAAAGGACAACCTTTGTTGTCAACCAAAAAGAAGAACATCTCTCTTCCAAAAACAATAAAGAAGAACATCTTTCTGGCCAAACGTTCAACTCCCAGCCAACGCTCGTCTGAGATTTCTGGGTAGCTGGCTCGGAAGTCCTGGATTTGAAGAATGCCGAATTGGGAGCTGAAGAGCTGTTGCAAGCATGACCAGGTCGTCTTCTTGGCCACCATTGGAGTCTTCACCGTTGTCATCCTCGCGGTAATCGCTCTCTACCTTCTCTTTGTTTTTTCAATTCACACAAACTAAAATTGTAGATACAAGGCTTAGGATTGGTCTTTCCGGTGTATTTGTTATCGTTTCTTGAACTTCAAAGTTAAGCGGGTTGACTCGACTTGTTGACCAGATTGTTGAATTGGGATTTTGAAAAAAGAGGGAAAAGTTGAGGTCAAAGATATCATTTGTTCTTTTGCTTCTTCTTTTTTTCTCAGCAATTTGTTGTCAGTTTTAATGGTTTTGGACTAACAAAGTTGATTTCCGAAACCCCAATTTTATTTTCCGCTGGTATTTATGCTAACTAGCTTAGAAATATATGAATGAAGCTATGTGTTGTATTTATGCTAACATGCAACCAAGATGGTTTGGTCATGTGTAACTAGAGGCTCTCGTCGATAAAATCATTTGCAATCCACCTAGTGGATTTGGGAAAATTCAGAGTGCTGTTTGAGGTTGTACGAAGAGATTTGATGAATTTGGGGAAGGATATAAATATAGCAGAATAACATGGACTCACTTATATGATCTGTAGAAAGGCCATGTTATGTTGGCTAGATATATCTTGCATGATTTTTTGGTTTTTTGATTTAATTTTTAATCAATCTCATTGTTAGTTTGGCACTGACTTGATCCAGTTAGCCTTTTGATCTAAATGTTTGTTCTTACTGTTAAAGCTTTGGAGGACAATACTACTCACACCTTTTAAGCTCATCACGGTCTTCTTGCATGAAGCAAGCCATGCAGTTGCTTGCATACTCACATGTGGCAAGGTAAGAAGAAAGTATTTTTTATCTTCTATTCCTTTCTTGTTTCAGTGATGTGGTCAGATCCGAAAAGGAAAGAATTGTTGCTTTCCTATATAAATATTTATTTTCAAGGACTCCAGTTCATCATTTATATTTCTTTCTTGGTGATAGTTTATACACAAGTGCACAGATATAAAATGTAATTGGTTCACTTGTTCACAACTTCAAGCTAGGTAATAGGGATCTTTAACTGACACAGTATCATGTTGTGCTGCCAGTATCCTAGTCAAGGATCCAAGGGCAATCATTTTTTCTGTTTACTTTGTGGAGTTTTCATTAGATCAAAAGAAACTAATCTTCTACAGAAGGTTTCCTTATTGTATTAGGGCTGGAGGATTTTCCGCATGACCCTACTTTGTAGAGAAGCAAGGGACAAAGTTTGGACAATCAAATAAGATTTAGTGTTCATTTTCTTTAGCCTTGGTGTTATTTCCTCATTGAATTTCTTTGTGTTGTTCAATGTACCAGGCCTTCTGTTGTTTTATTGAATGACTGGTGGTTCAATGTACCAGGCCTTACATTATATAGCGTTTTCACTGAATTTCTATATGCAGTTTCGGAGTACTCGCTCTCACTGAGTGAACTCAGCTTTGCTAACCATTAATTTAGAACTCAGATCTTGTAGTTCTTTGACCAGTCCTTGTCCTCTTCATAAAAACCATCATTATGTATCATCACCACAGTCCTCATAAGTCAGGACATCCATTTTAACTTCAAGTCAGCATCCTTCAATCTGAGACCCAATTTCATTATTCAATAGAATACAGGGCATTAGCCTGTTCTGTTTACTTTGATCGCTGATGCTCTGGGTTGTGATAGAATTAGAGCATTCAATCCAAACCAATTAGCAACATTTGGAGGGGCCAAAGATCTTATATATTGCTATGCTAGGTTTTAAATTTCTGATGTTGAATTATCTACACCATATTTTAGGATATCTTAAGTAAATATGTCTACACCAGCATATTTTCTTGTTCTCTCCCTATTTTTCTGTGCCCTGTTTTGTGCTTGGGTTCAATTCGCTCATATGTGTGGAACCATGATAACAAAGCCTTGATGAGGGAGCTGGCCAAAGGAAGTTATAATTTGAAAACATAAGGGCAATGAATGAGTTTGGGGATGGTTAAAAGATCCCATGGAAAATCAGAAATGATCAGAATTTCACAAATTGTTAGACAATGTTGTTGGTCACTAGGCTTTAACAGAGCTTCTCAGCTAAAACGGCATTCAAGGATATCATTTCACACAATCTTTTTCAAGTTCAAAGTTTTCTTAGTCTTCAAGCTTGCAAGGTTCTCACTCATTTTTTGTTACCAGAGCTCTTGCGATTATCTTGATCTGCTCACATATTGGTTTTAGAACTACTAGGTTTTTCAAACTTAGTATTAATTAAGGTTGGCACCATACCCCCCCCCCCCCCACCCAACCCCCCCGGGTCATCTTCCCATATTTGTTCTTGCTTACAAATATTTTTCGTGTTATTTTTCTGGCAAGTTATTAAGTTTTCAAACTTGTCTGTTATTTCCAAAGTTGTTTGCTTGTTAAGTAAGAATTCACATCTCAAGTTGCATGAGTTTGAGTTTAAACACATGTTCACGATTACACTGAATTCTGTTTTATCAAGTCCTTAATTCATCATGGGATTGAAAAGATCCTTAGCTGAAAATGTTGTTCCTCGCTTGTCGTACAATATTCTCTTTAGAAGGTTGATCAATGGCTCACAATTTACTTTTCTAGACAAGCTTATCAGCGGACTAAAGCTTGTTCTGCTTTGGCCCAGTCTGTTTGAATCAGCGACAGTTTTAAGCAAAGAATTTTGCTATATCTAGTTTATTTTGAATGTCAGATCATGACTCAGTTGTTTAAATAGTGTAAGAGAAAATTAAGAGCTCTAAATTGTTGATTAGGAACATACGATTTATGCTACTCTACAAGTGAGAAAGTCCAAATGTACGTGTATTGTTGCACTAGCTATTCATTGTCAAGCTTATTGCAAATTGGAATGTTGCATGTCTTTAATAGTATTCACTCTCGCTATTACTATTGTTGCTAATATTATTTTAATTCTTGTTGCTAATATTATTTTAATTCTTATCATCATAATTATTGATTATTATTATTATGCTTTTGTTTTATCATTTTCTTACGGTTTCCTGTATATTTCCTGTGCTTTGGCATCTCATAGGTTTTCTAAATGGTTATACTCTCAATAGTTGAAGCTTTCTGATAGTTCTGTTTTTGAAGGCTGACATACACAAAAACACATGTTGCTAACTTGCTACCACCTACCCCTACATTAAATGCCCTTAGCTTCTAGGGAAGTTCCCATGTCACTTATGGATTTTATAGTTTGAATCAATTTGTAGGTGGAGGGCATCCAGGTTCACGCAAATGAGGGTGGGGTGACACAAACACGTGGTGGTATATATTGGTTGATCTTGCCTGCAGGATGTACTACACCTTTGTCCCTAAACTTTATTTTTCATTGCAATGTATCCTTATTATTGTACTTTACGAGACATAAATAATGGGCTTTGAAATGCAATTTTTGACGTTTTTTAGCATGATATGAGTATCCTTCTGGATTTGAGCATACATGGTTCCTCATATAAGTTTCTCACTTTCTCACACTTGCATTTGTCGTTCAGAAACTTTTGCCCCTCCTCAGTTTGTTACTTTGTCTTCATCTTCAATATTTGCATGTCTAAGATGTGTCTCAGTTTATGACACGAGCCGAATTGTATGTGCTGACACTGAACATGGCATCTGATGCTAAAGTAGGACTGTTTCTCGTGGTTTCATATTTCATGCATCCCGGTGTTACATGAAAACCATGCTGGCTTCAAAAATATGTATTTTTCTTTTCGGTCTTAATTAAAATTGGCTTTGTAGTAAACTAAATAGTTATGAGTTGTATCCAGATCTCGGTTCTCATGGTTTCGTATTTCTTTCTGCATCCAGATCTGGGTTCATCATTTTGGGGAATGGCTTTAATACTTGCATCGACAAATCTCGTTACTGCTCGAATTGCTGCTGGTTGTCTTGGCGTTGCCTTGCTAGTTGTGCTTTTTGTGGCAAAAAATGTAAGAGAGCTCAGTAAACTTATGCAGACAATAATGTTTTAGCTCCATTCTCATATTCTTTGATTAGAGCTTTCAGGATCTTAGTTTCTTCACTCTTGCATTCTAAATTCTATTGTTTTATACAGTGGACACTTCGAGGACTTTGTATTGGTGAGTAGCTTCACATGCGTGCAATATGTATTAGTTTTATATTATTCACATACTTCCAGATATTACTGATCCTTACTGATGAGTCTTTTCAGGATTTATTGTATTCCTTGCTATAGTATGGGTTCTCCAAGAATTAACTAAAGTCCGTATTCTTCGCTATGTCATTCTCTTTATTGGTATATTCTTATCTTTTCAAATCTTTACTTTCTGAGATGAAGTTCTTCTTAGTTCTGCATCATTGTCACTTCTTGTGTGCAAAATAAAATGTTGCTTATATTTTACTTTGAAATTGCAGGTGTGATGAACAGTTTGTTCTCAGTTTATGGTAATTCTCAGTGATCATTCGTAACATATGTATATTAGCTATTCTGAACAATTAAATTGCAGATTTTATATCACTAGACTGTAATTGTCGCAGATATATATGATGATTTAATATCTAGAAGGGTCAACTCCAGTGATGCTGAAAAATTTGCAGAAATTTGCCCCTGCCCCTGTACTGGGGTTGGATGGGGAGTGATATGGTAAGCCATATAGCATGACAAGCTCAAAGCAGAAACATGAAATTCCTTATCTAAAAATACGTAATTGTCCTGATGAATTGACGTCCATAATAATCTTTATTTGCAGGGGATTGATATCGTTTATATTTCTTTCTGCATCGGTGTATCTAGGGCTTGTCATTCTATCGTGAGGTACAGTCTCCTTCTTCACGGAATTGATTTTACATGTGTATATTTGAGTAGATTTATTTTATACATAATGAAGGTACAAAGTCATACATCAGAATTTACACCGAAACAAATCAGAAATAGCAAAGGCATTCTTTTTCTTGTATATGTATAAATACATAAGAAATAAAAAGAATTCCGTCATTAGTTTAACGATAAACATAGAAGAAAATCCTATTCTAACAAACATTTAGAGAAGCCAACAGCAGAACCCCAAGACAATGGAATGGAGTTCTTTGTGGAAAGCTGCATATGTATATGCATATGTGATATTTTTAACCGAAGGCTAGATGAATCGTTGGGAAACATGTTCCTAGACGAATTATAATTAAAAGGTAGATTTTTCCCAACATCTCTACTGCTCTACAATTTTCAGGTCCAGGAGATTTTGGATCAGTCGTCCCATATCCGCCCGGAGAGTCAGCTCTCACTTATTTTTTCCACTCTCCCTTGATGAGTAGTTACCTTCATGGCATTTTAGCCACAACTGATTCTTTCAACCCTTTCATTGTGGGTTACTATTACACTCTGATAGTTGTTGTAAAGTTGATACTGGTGTTTTACACTCATAACAAAGATTTAAACATATTGATGTGAAGTTTTTATACTCTAAACATATAGACCGTCTTTTTTTTGAAATTGGTTTGTTCCAACCCATCATTTTTTTTTTTTGAAATTGGTTTGGCCAATGCTTAGATGTTGGAGAATCATTGGAATGGTAAAAAAAAGGTTAGATTTATTGACAACATGATAACTGCCTTTCTTATACAAATGAGTCTCAAATTACGGTTGATGTGACGGACTGAATCCCCGTTCCAAGTACTAGTGAATGACATTAATTAAACAAATTACAGTGAACATGTCAATCAATTGAGCCATGTGATATCTAATCGGCTCTCCAAGAATTCCAATAATTATATTGGTCATCCCTTTAGAGCAGTTCCAGCCTTGTGAATAGGCCGGGGGACAGGGGACTTCCAAAGGCCTGAGGGCCTGTCAACTTGCTCCACCCATGAAGAGCCCGAGCTCTTGAAGAAGGCCCGAGCAAGGGGCCTGTCAATTTGTGACAGCCCAGCAGCCCGAGCTCCAACCCTTTTTTTATTTTTTTTCTGTCAGGCCACTTGCAGCAGAAAAATCAGCCCACTTGCAGCAGCTGTCAGTTACCGTTGGGAAGCCACGTGGCTTCGCACGGTCTGTTTGATCTCAACGGCTCCTTCATTTGGACCGTTGGATTTCAACGGTAAAAAAAATAAAAAAAATATGATTTAATATCAACCGTTCGATCTGAGATCAACGGTCGATATTAATATGCTTTATAAATAAAGAAAACTAATATTTTATTTTGTATTATTTAAACAAACAAAAAAAACTAATATTTTATTGCATATTGCCAGGGGGGAGGGCTCCAAGGGTGGAGATGCAAATGACAATTACTGTTCATTAATGGCAGTTACTATTCATTAAAGGCAGTTACTGTTCAAAATGGTGGATTCAATAGTGGATTGCCAGGGGGAAAGGCTCCATGGGTGGAGTTGCTCTTACAAGCCTTTCGATTACTCTCAGATGCTCTCTACTATCTAGTGAGTTGACCTTGCAAGTGGAGCATAATTAGGTTAACTGCTTTAGATAAAACTGGCCACTAGCAAGTTGACTTTTATTGCCATATTTTTACTTTACAGTATGAGAGAGTTTTATTGAATGAAAAAAAAAAAAAAAAACTACGGTTGTTTAGAGGATTCATAAATTAAAAAAGTAAGACAAACTTGTAAACAAAATGCACATTCGGAAAATTGGAGCCAAACAAACCAAGAAAATTCAAGAGCAAAGAAGCTGGAACCGCCTGCCACACCAAAATTAAGGAAGACAAGCCATTTTAGATAAATGTAAAAGCAACAAAAAGTTATCTTCCATATAAGAGCCAAACAAATAAACGATTGTGTATAAAAAGGTCATGGAGGAACAAAGGCATCAGAATGGACACAAGCAAAAATACTAGAAGAATATGTTAGACAAGGAGCCTTGCCATCCAAGGAAACTGTTCCTTCTTAGGTTTAGGAGTTATTATTGTATCCTATTTATGATTGTATTCTTGTATTCTTATATCCCAACCAAAGTGTACGCCAATATGAACGCGCCAAAGGATTTAACTAGCGACGCTACTTGGCTCCTCACATATAAGGAGCTATTTCTCATGATGACGATGGATCATTTTACCATACATCATGCAGAATATAAATATCGTCTTTACAAAGTTCATTTAATTTAAAAGTTGCTTAACTTTTAATATGAATCAAACAAATTGACTATTCATCATAAATATGTTATCTATTGTCATAGTAGTGAATTTTTATTTCACACGTAAAATCATCTCAAAAAAATCTAACTCATTATTTTTCAAACGAAACAAGCACAATACATTATAATTTTCGATGTATTTGTAATCTCTCTATCGATCCCCTCTTTATGGATTACAATCACACGCTGCTCTACAACTGGCCTGCATATCGAATTAGAAGCTCTAAAAGGTGATCATGAACTAAATTCATATAAAATCAAAACTTTGTGCATTACGAATATTTAGTGCATTTGATTATCATCTCTTCACTAGTCGAATGAATACCCATTTGGATGTAAAGGGGGTGGGACAACATAAGGGACTCTTAATGGATATATAGGGTGTCTCAGATTGGATTCGATAATTCATTATATTCAAGGTGTGTTGAAGGAAAAAATGAAAAAATTGTTTCCAACTTGAAGGTAGAAACTGAGTTACTTCATTCTAATTCCCAAATGGTAAGATTAGATCGAATAAATTTCTTTCATCTATAATGCCCTTCCGGTCCCCTCAAAATAAAATCATTCACCTACTTTCAAGTTTGATCTACACCAATTTAAAGAATCAATATAACAAAAGCAAGTGCCTTGTATTGGCTTTTCATAATGTTTCTTCCTCGGTTTAGTACCTTTATTCTTCATCAGTTAAAGGTTAAAACTAAACCATATGAAATTATTTCATGGATTCCAAACATGCGTAGGTGGATGAGAAAGCCGCAATTATCTCCTTTTTATTGTGTTTTTCAGGTCTCTAATTATTTCATTTAATTTGGATTGATTCACATGGGCAAATTAAACAGCATTCCCTAACTGTGTGTGCACGTATACAGAAGAAATTCCCATGACCCTTGGGAGAGGGAATGAGTCGACCTTTATTCTCCAAACAAACAATTTTGACTACAGTGATTTAAAAGAAGTCAATATCCATGATCTGTCGCGAAGCCAAAGGTGTAAATTTTTGCCTGTTTTGCTGCAACTATTTGCGATTGAGATTTGATACAACAGAAAGAAAGAAACCTAGCTAGCTATATATATTCGTTAAAGATTGGATTCGATTGTCAGCTTTTAAATTTTCAGAAGCAACTTCAGACTTATCAGTAATATATAAACCCATGAAGTGAAGGTTTGGTATCAAATGGAAATTAATGAAGTTGATGAGATTGAGTTTATAGGAGAAGGTTTCAACTTCCCTCAAGGGCTTCCAATATTCCATGTCAATACTTTGTTCGATCAACGTCAAGTATGGGAATGTTGGGGGCCTGCGAAGGAGTTTGAAGCATTGCTCCTTCATTTTTGCTGCCTCTTACGTTCCTTTTGCTCTTCCTTTTCTCGGAAAACTATAACATACAATAGACTCTCACACTTCTTTTTCCGGTATAAACCCTAAGCCCTAATAGATCTTTCTCATCTCTTGTAATTAACACTTTATTTGAATGTGAAGGTTTCTCTACTCAACTCAACTGCTATGACTGCTATGACTGTTCTGACTATCTCGGGTTAGTTATCAGTTTGTTTTTTAACGTGTATGAACTAATAAGGATTAGTATCATAGCCTTAGTTATACAATTGAAACTTAATCAGGTTAAAAATCGACATCAAAATCTGCATGCTTCTGTGTTGTAATCGACTTACAAAACTAGGGTTTTCAGCTTATGTTTTGAATCTGTCATGTTTAAAACATTTGAAGCATTACGTCATGATATATGTCTATTTGCTTAGATGTTGTCAGGTAATATCTTATAATTCTTATTATCTTGCTATACAGTTTCTTGTAGATTGTGTCAGATAATCATGGTTTTTGCACTAAAAAAATTCAATCAAAGCTTTTTTTTTTGTAATTAAATCAAATCAACCATTCACGTATGAGTGAATTAATTTAATATGGTTTATTCAAGATTGAATGTGTTTCTTGAAGAAATTAAATCTAATCTTAAATCCATAGTTGCATTTCTTTATCATTCATTGTTTCATATGAGGAATTCGTAGCGCAAGATGAAGATTCGAGTTGATAAAGTGTTGTGCTTGTGAGGAATGAACTGAGTGTTGATGAGAAGAAATCGAAGGTTGCATAGTGGTATCAAATTGCTGCTTAGACAGATCTAGGTAATTGAGTTTGGCTGAGAATTCCTTGATTGGATGTTTAATTTCTCTTAGTGGATTGCCTGGTTAGATAAAGAACTATGATTTTTACCCACACGCACATTGGATGTATGCCCTAAAAATCAATCATAGAGATGATAAAGTTTTAGGACGATATTAGTCCATAAACAAATCATTTGAGCAAGACCACTAATTATAGGATTACCAAATAATCCTAAATATTAGGTCATGGATAACAAATTTATAAACATAAGAAAGAGGTATCCTAAAGGGTTAAGAGAAATCTAAATAAGTTAGATTGTAGAGACCTTGTCCTTTATGTGATTATTAAAAAATTGTTCCCCGATTTGTGAGATATATGGAGTGGATATATAAAAATACACAATATATATCCACTCATACCGATCCATCAATGTAGGAATACTAAGACAAGTGTGTATGTGCATAAAAAAAAGATTGTGTACAATGAACGCGATCAAGTTCTTGTATAGAGTTTTACTTACATGTCAAGAGTTAACTTTAGTTGCAATAATGAAAGTAATCTCACACTTGAGATATCACTGTTGTCTGACGAGTAGGTTGGTGACTTTGTGATTCTGCAGCATAGTCAAAAAGACTTGTTCCATGCATCATCCAGATCACTGTGTTACTTGCGAGTAGGTTGGCGGGCATGTTAATTTGGCATTTTGATTCGAAATGCTTATTTTATGTTGATAGTGCTTACAAAGTGGTGAATGGGTTGAATTTTGTTGGTGCTTCTTCCATTTTGTTAGGCTCTATCTCTAGTATATGGCGAGCAACCTAACCTGGCGTGTGAATGATCTTGGCAAGGTCAAAGTCTGTATGTAGAAAGTTTGCTCGGATATTCTTCCAACCCGAGCAAATTTAGCGAAGAAAGGCGTGGTCGTGGATGATTGTTGTATTTTCTGTAACTCCTCTCCAGAGACATGTTGCATGTGCTCAAGGATTAATGCCCATTTACTAAACACGTCCTTTTTCATCCTCCCTTCAAATTAAGTCTTATAATTTCCTCGCATTTTCCATACAAGATTTGTTGCTCCAGGTTGCTAGTGATTGGCCTTATGGATGCTTTGATGATGATTGTCCACTTCCTCTGGACTGCTAAAAATTCCTTGTGGGAGGGCAAATGTGACGACCTAGCTGATCTTCGTAAAGCTGCCAACCTTCGTCTGCAAAATATTTTT